CTCCAACATTTTCTGGCTTTTTTGTAGGTCCGCCAGGCATCATAAAAGGTTCCTTCATCTTTTCCACATTTCCAACATAAATTTGAACTACCTTTATATTCTAGATAATTTTTCTGGAGTCATCAGCCAATGGTACAACATTTACAAAAATTAGCAGAGATGGCAAAATTGGCTTGGCTGATTAGAGAAAGGACAATAACTACATTTATTAGTGACTGGAAACCCTTATGGACTTTTTCCTGAAAAAAGAGGAAAAAACCCACAAACTTGTGATTTATAGTGTTGATGATTAGAAAGGGTAGACTATGAAAAGAAGGAAATTATGTTGTAACCTTAGAGAGAGAAGGTAAAATACAAAGGTACTTGCAACTACTGACTGGAAGCCACTTGTTTATAACTTTTTCTTTATAAAGAAAAGTTTATAACTTTTTCTTTATAAAGAAAAGTTTATAACTTTTTCTTTATAAAGAAAAGTTTATAACTTTGTCTTTACTTTTAAACTTACCGGACTTGACAAAAGGCTATCCTATTTAGAACAGCATACATTTTTCAGTGATACTTCCATGATTTTTAGGTCCTTCATTAGAGTCAGCATCCAGTTGATTAGGCTGTATTATTCATTTGGATGAATATTACAATAACTAATATTTTAAATTAAATTATAAGGCAATCTAATGGGAGAGACTCAAGAGACTTTTGGGGAAATCTGAGTCTTTTAAAAGTAATAATAGGGGCAGACTATCCAGATGAACCTTTGTGGGAGTATTACATCAATGATATCTAAAGTTAACAGAGTAACATTCTTACCTATTGGATAACATATTACAAGTCAATCTTAATTTGAAATATGCTCGTCGGTTAAATTCTGACAGAAGTTTGAAAGCTCTGTAAAACTAATCATCTCAACCATCTGCATTTCCAGTATCCTGATTAATCTAAGAATATCATCTCCTAGAGTAGAATGGGTAACAAATGGGTCCTTCCCTTACTTTTGGGTGTATTAAATGGCCATAAAAATAGCTGTGAAATACATGGATGGAAGCTTGACAGCATATAAAAAGAAATTTAATCTAGAGCTAAAAAGCATTAGTGATTCAATTTGTACTCTCCAAAATTAATACTGTGCCTTGCATTGAAAAACTGAAAGTCAGGAAATATGTTATAACATTGTGTTTATCATTTTCATGAACTACAGACAAGTGTAACTGGTTTGGAAGCATGGTGTAATGATGTGTCATGCTGATACAGCTCAGCACTGGAAATAAAAGCATAATAGTCATCAGTTATAACTGGAGCAGAGATCCACTCATACAATTTCTTCCTATTTAGTTCCATGTAATTTATAACATCTTGGGAAAATTCTGAACCTTTCCTGTCTAGAAACAGACCCGGAATATGAAAGAAATATAGGATAATTCAGAACTTGGCATATGGATTGGATGTCAATGTCTAGTTTGGGAGAGAAAATATGAAGGAATATCAATACACACCGACATTTCATTTTTTCTTTTTTTTTACACAATATAAATTTATTTCTCATGCTTAATTTGCCTTTTTTATAGCTAATATACGGGTCTCCTCCAGAAATCAATTCAAAAAACCAGGCTGCTTTACACCAACAGATGTTCCCAAATAGTGGCCATCAATACAATGGTATTTTTCAATTACTGCTATATTTCAGATGGATGTGGATTGGGGTATTGACTGTGAATAATGACAATGGTGAAAAATTTGTACAGAATATGGTTTCCATGTTTGTCCAGAAAGGTATCTGCTCATCCTTCATTGAAAGATTTCCAGTAATGACTTATACCAATAACATTTTTGACTTGGTGGAAATGGGGATTAAAATGTACAAACGGATGATGAGGAGTACTGCTGATACGGTGGTAGTTCATGGTGAAATTGATCACATAATTACTCTGAGACTTTTATCCAAAAGTCTGCACTCCTTATGGACACAAAGTAAGGTCTGGATTATGGCAGCCCAGATAGATTTCACATCACTCCCCTTTCAGAGAATGGAAGACATAGACTTTATCCACGGTGCTCTGTCTTTTGCCATTCACACAAAGGAGGTGCTGGGATTCAGGAACTATATTAATATGAGAAATCCTGTTTTGGAAAAAGAAAATAGCTTGATGAGGCTCTTCTGGAGAAATGCCTTTCAGTGTTCTTTCTCAGACTCCATGATTGATGAAGAAGATGGGATTCCCTGTACTGGAGAGGAGAAACTGGAGACTCTTCCTACAACTGTGTTTGAAATGGACATGACTAGTCACAGCTACTGCATCTATAATGCAGTCTACGTGGTGGCACATGCTTTGCATGACTTCCATGCATCCCGAATGAAATACAGAGCAGGACAGCACAGAGATAATGAGAACCTTCTGAGTCAACAGCTGTGGAAGGTAAGGTGCTGAGCAAACGAATTACAGAAGGAGCAACATAACTAGATTGCCAAGGAATTGAAAAGCTGAGTAAGTTCTAAACTTCATGTTGTGTGGTTTTCCTAACCTTATTTTCTCTCATTCTAGTCCAGTAGTCCAGGTACTGTAACTTCCTTTAAAAATTGCTTTCTCTAAAATCTTTAGGGAAAATGTATAGAGAGATCTGTAATGGTATTGCTTTGATACTACTCAGTTATTCTTGGGACCTTACATTGTTCTCTTAGGTGTTCATTGTGTTTCCACATCCCCAGAGATTACTCAGTCACCACTATTTCCAAATAATTTGAGTGAACATTCATGAAGACAGATGTTAGTTCAGCAATGTAAGTTCTAAGTACATCTGTATGCAACTTTGTTATATAATGAGGAATCTCTAGCTTTCTATCTTCGTTTGCATTGTTTTCTTTTGTTTTGAGAAACTCTTGTGCAACATCCTTCCCCTCACAATATTGGTGTGAATAATAGTTTATCCTCTGTCACTTTTACATTTTTCAGGATGTACATATTTATTTTCGGTTTTAGCTTTCTCTTATTCAGAAAGTTTTTTTTTAATTTATTTATACGATTTTTGCTTTGTTTTGTTTTATATTTGCTGAAGTCTCTAGAATGATACTTGTGGTGAGCAGTATTCAGTAATACTATTATTACATAACCTACTGTTATTCATACAGATTTAAAAGGTTTATTATCCATATACTTCCAAGTGGGCAAGTACATCCATATAAATAACTCTTCACTTTGCTTCCCCCCTCCCCAATTTAGCTCAGCCACATTGTGAGAAGTGTCTCCTTTAATAATACTGCTGGGCAGAAGATTTCCTTCAACCCAAAAGGTGAATTAGAGACTGGATTTGATATAATGAATTGGATCACATTTCCAAATCTGTCTTTTTGGAGAGTCAGAGTGGGCAGGATAGATCCAATGGCTTCCCAAGGGAAAATATTTACCATTGACAAGGATGGTATTGTATGGCCAAGGAGGTTTAACCAGGTATGGTCCAAGTTACATTTTGGCTTATGGAGAGGCCTCATTCCACCATTCCTGGAGTTCTCTTAAATCCAAAATGCCACATAGCAATTAGTTCCAGATACAGAGATCTTCATATCCTCTAAGGTGCAATAACAAAAAACAAATAAATTGATCAACTGAAAGATCCAAATCTATAAAAGGAGCATTATACTAGATCACAGTATAAATCAAGAAAAAGCATACTGCAGGCAATACAAATCTTATAGCAAAATGAAACAAAACTAAAATATATCCAGATACCAATGATTGTATGGCTCATTTCCTTTCACCTGAAAGTAGTCTTCTTTCTTGTCATTAAAGCAAAAGAGAAGACAACCCACAAGTATTGGTAGGGAAACAAAGCAGAACAACACTCCTAAGGATTGTGTAACCTCTGAATACTAATTTGTCAAAGACAAAATATTCTCTTCTTTCATTTATGAACAGACCCAACCTCTATCTCTATGCAATAGCAAGTGCCGTCCAGGTTTTAGTAAGTGGAAAGTAGAAGGAAAGCCCTTTTGCTGTTATCAATGCCTTCGGTGTCCACAGGGGAAGATCTCCAACAAGGAGGGTAAGAGTCGTTTCCACATTTGTCTGTTGCAGATTCTCTTTCTTTCTTTCTTTCTTTCTTTCTTTCTTTCTTTCTTTCTTTCTTTCTTTCTTTCTTTCTTTCTTCCTTCCTTCCTTCCTTCCTT